AGTAATAAGAATATTAACAGAAGAAAATACTCCATCCTTTCATTTAGAGAGATACATAATAAATAAAAAGTGGATTACCCTTCCAAAAAGTAGTAGGATCTCAAAGATGAAGTGCAAAAACAAGAGAATGACATAAGAACAGAGAAAATTAGAGAAGTAATGATCACTGGAAAATGAAAAATATATTTATGAACAAATAATAGAATGAATACAAGTGAAAATCAAATAACTGATTAGAGAGAAAATGTATAAGAATCAAGGTGAATACAGATAAAAATTCAAAGAAACTAGAAACAAAAACATAATAAATATGAAATCCATTTAGGAATAATTCAGTGTAATGCTAATTAGTACACTGAAAGTGGAAGAACACAATATATAAAATGAAAAAAGGATATTCACAGATGTAATACATAAAATAGCAAAAGACTGAGAAAATGCAAAACAATCCTGAAGAAGAACAAAATGGAGATCCTTACCACACTGGTTATTAAGAGTTGTTATAAATATACCATAATTAAGAGTGTCATGCTGTGACAATGTAATAATCCATGTTTATCATGAAGATAGAAAATACGCAATAGGAGAGACAGTACAATCATGTATATATGTCTTTTTTTCATAAATTGTGAAATGACATTTAGACAATTGGCCAACTATACATAAAAATTTTAACATTTGACCTCTACTTCAACATAGAGACAAAAAAAATCAATTCAGAAAAATAATCAATTCAGAGAAATTATATATATGAAAGACAAAGCTAAAAAAACTTTTAAGAAGAGAATATAAGAGAACATCTGCATAACATTTATGTACAGAAAATTTCTTCATGAATACTTAAAAAGCATGAACTATAAATGACTTATAAATATAACACCATTAAAATTAAGAATTCCTCTTCATTTTAAGACACCCTAACTAAGTGGCAAGGCAAACCACAATAAATAAATGGTGCAGACAGCTTTAGCTGAATGGTGAGAGACTATAGTTGCTACACATACAATAGATAAGTGGTTTATACCCCAAATCCCTCCACAAATCAGTAAGAAAAAGACAGGCAACACAATGGGAAAATGGATAAGGAACTTTATTAGAGATTTAAAAAAAAGAAAACTAAATGGCTAAAAAGAAGAAAAAATGAAAGATTTTCAAACTAACTAATAACCAATAAAATGTATTTACAATTACAATGGAATACCACACCAAATCTAGGAGAGATAAAATTAAGTGTTACAGAGGCAAGTTGCTTGGGAGGACATGGAACAATGGAAGTGTACATCAATACAACAACTTTGGAAAATTGTCATTTTTCTAGTAAAGTCGAAAAAACAGATTACTTATGACTCAGATATCCCACTTTTAAGTATGTACCCTACAGGTAGACATGGACATATGCAATAGGAAACATGCACAGCAATGTTTACAGTAGGTTTTATTGTAATATTCTCAATTTGGAAACAACCCATATTCTTCATGAGCAGAAGAGTTAAACTGGAAGGAATATTCACAAAATGAAATCTCAATACAGCCATATGATCATGAGTGAATTGTAATACAATATTGGGTAAAAGAAGAATAAAGGCTGGAAAGTAGTAAAACTAAATCATCTGTAGGAATTAATATGAAGACAGTAAAATCATAAGGAAAAACAAAGGTATGGTTATAGTTGTTTCTTGACTAACACTGGGGTTATGCCCTGATGAACACGTTGTATAATTAGTTGAAAATGCATTTAATACCCTAATAAACTTATCGTAAAGTTGAAAAAATCATAAGTTAAACCATGGTTGCTTGGGGACAGCCTGTATCCCCAACATCATAACTATGTCTTACTTGAGATGGAGGGGAGGGCTTTTGATTAAAGGGATCATATATATTTGTTCTGGGATGTTGAAATTTACTATTTCTTAACTTGGATAATTGAAAGGACACACAGGACTCTACATTGTGAACACAAGTAAGCCTTTAGCGAGTGGAGAGGACACAGTACAGCATGGAAACAAAGCCTGCGCAATCAAGATTTTACACATCCAAGCACAGCTCTGTAGAGTTCTATGTTAGTAGCATGGTACGCACTTTGTCTTTGAAAATATGTGTAAGAAATCACGATTTCAGGTAAGCCTGGGCAAAATTTTATAGTTTGGTCTTTTGTTCTCTACTGATCATGTGGAAAATCTATGCTACGCAACTGGTTACCAGGCTAAACTATGGATCTACACGTTAAACAATGTGGACAAACGAGTGCTAGGTTCCGGGGAGGTTCTGACTTAAAATAACACATCTATTCCTCCAGCTAGTTCACTTAATTCCTATCATGGCTACAGGCTGGTGCCAGACTTCCAGATGACCATCTGGAGATAACCTTGCCCTACACAGGTTGTATGAGTGTGTACTTAGGCTGTATGTGTATACTATACATACTTTTAAAAATTAATGGACTATTTTTAGAACAGTTTTAGGTTTACAGGAAATAGAGCAGGAAGTACAGAGAGTTTCCATGTACTCCTTCTCCCCATCACAGATTTCTATACTATTAATATCTTGTATTAGTGTTGCACATTTGTTAGAATCAATATTGATATATTATTGTTAAATAAAGTCCATAATTTACATTGGGATACACTCTTTGCAGTGTGCATTTCTATGAGTTTTGACAAATGCATAAATGTCATGTAGTCACCGTTATAGTACCATACAGAGTAACTGCCTGGGTCTGGTTCTGTTACTTGCTTTACCTCCTTCAGAGCATTTTGCTTGCATTTAGCATGGCTTGTTATTTTTTGTTGAAAGCTAAACGTGATGTATTGGTTAACAGGAACTGAAATAAATAGGCCCACAGTGTGAGTTTTGAACTTCTCTGGGTAGGTGTTATGTTATGTTTACTGTTTGCTGCAGCTATGGGTGTTAGAGGCTTTAATTTCCTCAAGGTTCCTTGTTTTTGTATACCCTGTTGTCTTTGGGGTTCCCTAGAAACTCCTTGTTAACTAGAGCCGGAGCCTTGCAGTTCTTTCCACTGAAATCCCCTATTATTATGCAGGATCCCTGTTGATATGCTGGTAATGTGAAGTGGGAAGGAAATGTTCTATAGTGCTATTATTAGGTGTCAGTCTTTCAGTGGGACCCTGTTCTTAGCTGCAATCTTCACAAATGTTACTCTGCCCTTTTCCCTCTTTACATGAGACAAGAGGGCTAGGTGTGGCTGGAGTTTGGTATTTCCTTTCTCCAACATTGGTTAGATTCTGGTAAAGTAGTTTTGCCTGATGGCATTAAAAGAATGTAACCTCACTCTGGGCATATTGCAAATGGTTATTCTCTTCCTAGGTGTATTTCAATTTTTTCCTCTTCATCTGATAAAAGCACAAGGAATTTTTTTCTTTATTCTTCCCTGTGAGAACCAGATAGGGCTCATAGAGATAAAACTCACAAAAGTGTGGAATTTCTCCAATACTAGGTCCGGACTCAACTTCCAGTAGATCATTCACTACTAGTTAAGTATTCCTACCAGTCACTGGCTTCCAGAGGCTTCTACTCTCAGTAAGGTATGATTTTCTGTATTCATCTACTTCTCTTGTTTTGGGGACAGCAGTTTGCTCTATGACTGTGATTCTCTGATGGCTCTGAAAAAATTTGTTGATTTTCAGTTTGTTCAGCTTTTTTCTCATTGTGACGATGACAGTGAGATCTCCTAAGCATTTTGAGTGTTGGAATAGATCCTGTCAGTGTTAAGATGGAAAAATCGAGAGATGCAGGAATGAAGTAATTTTCCCAAAGTCATGTAACAAATCTATACATTTGTATGTATTATATTTTATAATTTTAAAAAGTTTGACAAAGGATGCTGATGCTGTAAAGACCATGTCATCTTCCAAGGAAAATTGTTGCAGTACAGTAGACTCTGAGTCCCATCCTGGTGAAATTATTGAACCTGAAGGATGAAGAAATAATTTTTTAGATCTTCCTGTGGAAAAGCAATTGAACATTTGAAGGGGGTAAAAATAGACTGGTCTCAGATTTCTCCAAAATCACATTCAAAGATATGACACAATGGAACCTTATCTACACATTTGTGGGACAAAAGGTAATCCAAGATTACCATACTCAGCCAAGAGGTCAATCAAATATATACATAGATACATAGACATTCTTAGTTGTGGAATAATTTAAAGACTGAAATATCATGTACACTGTTCTTTAAAAATACATTTGATAATGATATCCATCTCGTAAGAAGATGGGTCAAATTAAGGGGTTAATAAATGTAGACGCTGTGGTAAAATCGGCTGGTGTTGAGCTAAGGATTCACTCAAATATAAAATTTAAGACTTAGCACAGGTCAGACATGATAGCTCACGCTTGTAATCCTAGCACTCTGGGAGGCTGAGGCAGGAGGATCACTCTAGGTTAGGAGCTTAAAACCAGCCTGAGCAAGAGCGAGACCCTGTCTCTACTAAAAATAGAAGGAAATTAATTGACCAACTAAAACATATATACACACAGAAAAAATTAGCCGGGCATGGTGGCGCATGTCTGTAGTCCCAGCTACTCGGGAGGCTGAGGCAGATGGATTGCTGGAGGCCAGGAGTTTGAGGTTGCTGTGAGCTAGGCTGACACCATGGCACTCTAGCCAGGACAATAGAGCCAGACTCTGTCTAAAAAAAAAAAAAAAAAAGAATGGACATGAGATGTGAACCCAAAGCAGTCTGAGTCCAGACTCTGATCTCCTAACCATGAAGCTACATTGTCATCTAGGGAACTATGGAGGTTTTTAAACAGAACCCAAAATTCTTTATCATTCCTCTAATCAAGAGGTAGGTCAATGTTAAATCTGGATTCTGTTAGTCCCTGACCAATAAAATACAGTAGAATTGATGCTATGACTATGTCCAGGGTTTTAAGACACTAGCAGCTCCTAATTCCTATCTCTTGGAGCCCTCACTCTTGGAATCCAGCTGCCATGCTGTGAGGAAGCCCAAGCTAGTCTATGCAAAGAAACCACATAGATTGTCCACCTGTATTTGCTCCAGCTAACAGCCAAGGAGGGGGTCCCAGCCATCATCCAGAATCAGCCACCAGCTATGCAAGTGAAGATGCTTCCAGATTCCAGCAGTCAAGTCATCCTCAGCTCTTGAGTCTTCCCATCCAAAGCAGAGATACCATGGAACAGAGGCAACTCATCGTGGCTATGCCCTGTCTGAATTCCTCTACCCACTTCCAAGGACCTTAGGTCCTGTGGATCCCACTTTCTCATATCTCTTGGTCCCTCTGATGGAGAAGTCATCTCCTCCATAATAAGACAGTATTTCCTGTAATTAGAAAAGGAAAGTTAAACTTTGAACAAAATGATGGATACAGAATGCTTTACTAGAAAAAAAAAAACAGGCTGCTTTCAAACACTTGTTATCAGCACCATCTATAAACAGCCCTTCGAAGTATGCTAGCTTATGACGCTTGGGGCCACCCTTCTTTCCCCTTCTGGATGTCACAAGGCCTCCTCTCCTCTGCTGACCACGAGGTCACTCCTAGAAAATGATGAGTTGTGCCTGTGTACACAAGGAAACCTACCACTTTGATGTGCTCAGGAGTTCTTATCCTTCATATCTTCTAGGCTCTGCTAGTTGGTGTTGAGGACCTGGATAAGAGATAAAGAACAAATGTCTCCTTGCATAACTAGATTTGGTCATGGCTCACCTGGTGTTGGTTGACATGGCTTCTCTGAGTAGCCTCTGATGACCCCTGAAGGCCTGTCTTCAAATGATGATTTTGACTGTCTTATGGGGTGATGTGGGAGCTCTTTGTTGGGAAAGGGGTGCTGCACAGTTCTCTGACATGGGTACCCTGGTCCTGGCCCTGCTCTTTCTCACCCCCCTCAACTCCCAACCCTGGCTCCAGAATCAAAAGGAAAGGTAGATAGAAGAAGCTTCTCATTCCACCCACCCACCTAAATCAGGGGTCTCCAACACTCCTGGTTCAAGGGGTACTGTATTACTTATCCATTGCTCTGCTGCAAAACAAGTTGCCCCCAAAATTGGCAGCCTAAAATGACAAACATTTACTGGATAAAGAATCTGGGTATGGTGTAACTGGGTCTGGCTCAGGATCTCTCGCAAGGCTGAAATCAAGGTGTTGGCCAGGGCTGCAAGCTCATCTGAAGGCTCGGCTGTGTACAGATCTGCTTCCCAGCTCACTCACTGGATGTTGGCCAAAAGCACCCTCAATTCCTTGCCACAGTGTTGCAAATGACTTCCAAGCCTGGCTGTCATCTTTTATCTCCTATCTCTGTGCATGAAAATGGGGCACATAATCATGGTTTTCTGATGCATTTTTAAATGAAAATATATATTCAACTCCATCATAGGTTAAATAATTATTTGAGGCCAGCCTAGGCAATTTATGTATTTTATATAATGACATATTGCCCAAATCCTAAAATCTAATTATTTAACTATCTATCTAATTATCTATCTTATAATCAGTTCTTGGGTTTCACATTCTTACACTCTGGTGCCAGAGTTTTTAATCTTTTATTCTTAAAGCACCAAAATAACTGTTTTATGAAGTGAGAGCTTAGCAGTGACCCCAAAATGAAAAAAATATATAAAAGTTCAGCTTCTGTGCTGAAGGTGGCAAGATCAGAGTCCCGCCTGTTCAGTCTCCTCCTCCCTCCCTTCAGATTTCCCAAGATCCTCTGGGGAACGCTGGACCTCCCTGGAACACAATTGCATCTTCATAAATTAATCTGCATTTTCAAGGTCCAACACTAGAGGGCTCACACCTGAGCTTGCGCTGTGCTCCAGATTTATCATTCTGCTTGTGCCCAGGATAAAGATTCCTGTTGCAAACTACATTTGAAGAGTCCCATTTCAGATCACAAAGTTTAATTCTGATGGAAACATAGTTTACCATTTAAGCAAAAGTCACTGTAGTGTACCCTGGGAAATTAAACAATGTAGTAACAGCATACATTCAATGAGATCAGACTTCTGCAAACCCCAAACGAGAAAACAGCTTCAAAAATATTTTTGATAATAAGGCAATTCACTTGGGCCTTGATGGTAGACAAAGCATAAGCAAGCTTAGAAAATAATGAACGTAAGAAAATAATTACACTATATCTTTCAACATAATGAAACCATCTCATTAAGCCTAAATTAACTTAAAGGTCAACAATGCATAATTTATGTAGGCTCATAAAATGCATTATGTAAATGATGATTAAACCAATATCCTCTCTTTTTTTATCTCTATCCTATTAACTCTAGAGATGCTAAAACATTGGTATATGTTATATGCAATAGTAACCAATTTAAAAGATACCATGTTTTCCTGTGGTTATTCCTGATAAAAATAACTCAAACCCCACAGCTACCAAATTCACTGACATTTTATCCAATTCCACAGCATTGTTCACAGGAAATCAGCATTGCAAGGGAGGAGCTGTAGGAAAGACTACAGAAGAAAAGAGAATCAGCCCAAGATAAAATACACCAGTTTCACAATGTGGCTGGGGGCTGTCCCATGTGACTGGGACATATGTTTTCAGTACTAGGGAGAAAGAATCCCTGATTCATTCAACAATCATCTGTTCCAGGCACTGGGAATATAGATGTGAACAAAACAAAGTTTCCTGGCTGGGAACGGTGGCTCATGCCTGTAATCCTAGCACTCTGGGAGGCTGAGGCAAGACGATTGCTTGAGGTCAAGAGTTCAAGACCAGCCTGAGCAAAAGTGAGACCCCATCTCTACTAGAAGGAAATTAATTGACCAACTAAAACATATATACACACAGAAAAATTAGCCGGGTATGGTGGCGCATGTCTGTAGTCCCAGCTACTCGGGAGGCTAGGCAGATGGATTGCTGGAGCCAGGAGTTTGAGGTTGCTGTGAGCTAGGCTGACACCATGGCACTCTAGCCAGGGCAATAGAGCCAGACTCTGTCTCAAAAAACATAAATAAATAAAAAAGACTAAAAAGGATGGGAATTATGGCTATATAAGGGAATGCAAATGCTATAAGTTTTGATAATATGAGATAAAAATAATCTGACAATAAGAATAGGGAAGAAGAAGAAATGTAACTATAATAATCCCCGGTTTTTTCATATCACTGAGTCAACCAATAGTGCCTCAAACATTTTCTATCTTGGAATTAGAAAAGAAATTGCAGAAAATGTTTTTTTCCTGAATATCTAAAAATAAATAATTTTCATGGGTTAGGAGAAATTGAGATGCAAATTAGAATAGCATAGCAGTATTTGAGCAAGTGTCTAGGCTAAAAAATAAATTTCTTTTGGCAATATGAGAGTAATAAAATAAAAACATAAGAGACTAATACATTTATTAAAGAAGAGTATATAACTATTAGCAATGCAATTTAAGTGTCAGCTTTTAACAAAAGGTAAGCCATTTGGAAAATTAAATTATTAGGGAAATAAGTCACCACATTTAAGAAGAGGCAATCATTTTTTGATGTGCTGTTGGATTCAGTTTGCTAAGATTTTGTTGAGGATCAAAGAGTCCCAAAACAACAAATGCTGACGTGGATGTGGAGAGATTGGAACACTCTTACACTGCTGGTGGGACTACAAATTAGTACTACCTCTGTGGAAAGTAATTTGGAGATATCTCAAAAAGCTAAAAATAGAAATACTATTTGATCCAGCAATCTCACTACTAGGCATCTACCCAAAAAAAAAAAAAAAGGCATCCTATAATAGAGACATCTGAACTAGAATGTTTATGGCAGCACAATTCACAATTGCAAAGGTGTGGAAACAACAACTGCCCACCAATACATGAGTGGATTAATAAAATGTGGTATATGGATACCATGGAGTTCTACTCAACTACATAAACCAATGGTGAACCAGCAACTCTTAGATTATCGCGGGTGGAGCTAGAGCCCATCCTTCAAAGTGAGGTACCATAAGAATGGAAAAACAAGCACCACATGTACTCACCATCAAATTGGTACTAACTAGCCAACACTAAGGTGCTCCCATGGTACCATTGGGTGCCGGTCAGGTGGGAGGGGTGGTGGGGTGAGTAAATTCACAACTAATTGCTGGGAGCTCACTGTATGGGTGAAGGGCAAGCTTATAGCCCTGGCTTGAATATTATACATAACTAAAATGTTCATACCCCCATAATATTCCAAAATAAAAAAAAGAGAAGATGCAATAAAATGTCTATGCACAGGTATGACTTTTGTGTTTTCATTCAGCAATTTCTAGAGCCTTTCATGTGCCAAATTATTGTGAAACCAAGAACATAAATAAGGAAGATAACACCTTTATCTCTAAAAAAAAGTGACAGTTGGACACACTATGGGAATAAATGTACGATTAACACATTGGTTAAAACAAATGAACTAATTACCAAAAAAAGGACAAATTCTTATGTGAAAAAGCAAAAAGAGCTTCCCTGACATCATGTAATTTCAGCTGAAATTAAATTGATGAGCCTCCACTGGCCACATTAGCCAGATTATTAATTAGCTAGGAAGGAGGATTTTGTAGCTAGAGAGAGGAACCTGGGTAAAATGTGTAAGAGAGAAAGAAAGATGATGTCCAAAAGGAACAGATAGAACAAGATTTGTGTTATGAAAAGATTACTCTGTCAAGGACTGAGGAGCTGAGATGTCCAAAATATAAAGGTATGGAACAGGTGAATGAGCTAAAAAAAGAAGTGGGAAGAAAATATCAGAAAAGAAGGATAGAATTGGGACAACATAAAACTACTAGAAAAGCCAAGAGAAAAATATATTTTGATGAAGAAGGATGTCCAACTTGGTTAAATATGCTGAATGCATTTGAGATGTAAAAGAGAAATATAAAGGGCTCATTAAATTGTCTTATATAGAGGGCATGCTGACTCATCAAGAGGAAATCAGTATATAGCTGGGAACATAATGTATTTGGAGAAGGAAATCAGAGATAAGAAAGAGGATAGAGAACATACGATCAATAGTAGTTGAGAAATTCTATCCATATACTTCTTTTCTGCATCCTATCAGTGGTCTTTTAATTCCTGCCATTGCCATGACCATCAGCTTTCTAGAAGAGCATCTCATCTCTTCTATGCCCCATATATCTTACTTCCCGGCCTGTAAATCTGGAAATGTAAAGGACTTTATACCACATGCGGAAATCTTTGATGAATGTAAATCAGGGGCTTGGAGATCAATTCCTCCCTTTCTATTTTTCAGGTAGGTAATTCTAAAGTCTATTGTAACAGCTCCTCAGAAAGTACCTGGCACAATGGAACTTCAGTTCCCACAGCAATGACCAGCTCAACAATGTACCCTTGATTTCACTTTACTTTTTCTCTGCTTTGCTTTTACTATTTTCTCTTATTTCCTAGGGTCATGTCCCAAAATAAACTGCCAGGATGGGAATTCTTATCTCAGGCGTTTTATTTTATATTATTATTTTTTTTAAATTAGTGGAAACTCAGGCTATGATGAAGAAGATCTTACAAAGCAACTTGAAAATTGCAATTTCTGTTGAAAACTACAAAACCCTGATGAAAAAAGTCAAAGATCTAAATAAATGGAGATAAATATCACAGTCATGGATTAAATGATGCAATATTTGTGCTATGTCAATTATTCCAATTTGATCTATAGATTCAATTCAGTCTCAA